GGTCAACAGAGCTATCAGGAAAATGCTCTCCACCTGCAGGGAATTCAAGCCCTTTTTAAAAGGCAAAGAAAATGGGTAAAACTTTCAGTTCTGTCAGAAAAAGCAAAACTAATTTTTCTGGTGGTTCCTATTGACTTGGAAAGAGCAGATCTGCCCATCAAATGGCATTTTACCAGCTGATCAATTTGGTGTCATTCTCATTGAATTAAATCAAATTGAAATGTAATTCCCTTCCCGGAACAAATCCCCCTGCAGGGACTCACTGTGCAGAAGAGTTTGACCTTGTGCTGGCTGCCTAGAGGGCTTTCCAGAGAGCTGGGGACACAAGCAGGGTCTGCGGAGCTCATACCTTGCCGGGCACAACCCTACTTTAGGCTCTCTTCTGGGCTTGACTACTGCACACTCTTGACCCAACAGAGATGCCCAGATAGATCCTGTTGGCCCCTGCAGGGCCATGGTCAACTACGTGAATGTGGGCTTGAACTGGGTATACCAAGGAGCAAGGAACAGAGTCACACCGAAGAGCTCCTAGCAGGCAGGGAGCCTGTATACAAATTAGGAGACCTCTCCCCCTCCTGGTGGTGGAATTACAAAACAGTACCCTCCATGGTAGGGAGATGGCACTCCTTCCTACACACTACAGAAGCCCCAAACTAGGTGCAAACGTTAGCGAGCGACAAGTAGGCTTAATTTCACCCCCTCTGACCCCCCCCAGGATCAGTTCACCCAACCATAGGCAGCAGTGCTATTGAGCTCCCCACAGGGGCCCCACAGTGGGCTCAGCTCTGCAAGATCCTGGGGGCAGAGACTCAGCTCTGACAGAACATGGGTACAGCTCAAAGCACCTAGTGGCCATTGGCTGACATGGCTGCAGTTGTCCCCAAGTCCTGGAAGACCCTACAGTCAAGCCTGCAAAGCATTCCCTGCCCAGAGCTGCTTATTGACTGTGAGGCCATACAACCTGGCTCATGGTCCCCCTGCCCTTTATCTACCCCTCCATTCCCTGCCTTGGGAGCCAGAAGACCTTGTACCAAACCTTGGCTCTACCAACTGGATGGCCTGGGGCTGGTGACTTAACGTCTCTGAGCTTCAACAAAGGAGTAATAGCACTGTAAGCAGCACATGGGAGGGAGTGTGGAACCTGGAAACCCTCTGAGAGGTTAGCAAAATCCACACAGAAGGATGAGATGGGCCATTTGTTGCCACGAACCAAGAGAAGGCCTGAAAATGGGATCAAAGAGCTTGGGAAGACCCCAAACGCCAACCGTGGTGGCCTGGCTATGGTCACAGGGAGGTAAGAATGAGGGGTGGTGGTAATTGAGGAAGCAGAAACCTAATTAACTAAATCACTTGGCAACGACTGTGAACAGAGAAAGCATGCCTGCCTGGAGCACAGACAAGGGAAGCCCAAGGTGCCAGGAGCTGGCCATACTTATTCTGCGATAAATTCAGTGTTGATGCCAGGCTCAAAGGCATCTTAGCAGCCAACCACTCAGCCTTCTCTTAGAGACATCTGACCTCTCATCAACCCTTTTCAAGCAACAACAATCTTTGTCCCAGGGTTTTTATAAGGATTAAAATAGGAAAGTGCCTGGAACATAGCAGGTGGCAAATAAACATTCCCCATCGCTCCATTCTCTTTTATCCTGCAATACTAACCAATGGGTCTTTCCAGCCACACAAGCATTTCCTCTAGATTTTCCTGACGTTCCTGCTATTCCCCTCACCCACCCTCCCCCACCCTAAACCCCGATCCCCACTTCATTTCCTCTGTGTCCGATGTCAAGGAATTCCTCTCGGTTCTACACCTAGTGGGGAAGGCAAAATTAATAAGATAACCACACAAATATGAACTTGCAACTGCCAAATGCTGCATAGGAGAGGTAAGGACACATGTAGTGGATGCTGTATGTGCTCCCCAGCTCCCCTCCAGGAGTTAGGCACTTGTCCCCCTCACTTGCTGGGAGTATTGGATGCAACAGCTCTCCCTGGAGCCTTCCCCAGGAATTGCCCTCAGCCTTTAACAGCCACCTTGACAAAAGTCACACCCCTTCCCTGGGGAAAACCCACCTCCAGTGACTGGTCTCTGCTGCCCTAATGTCTCAAGGTAGAAACTCTCCAGGACCAACCCAGTTCCCTAGGTCCTCCTGGGACTGACATTGGCCTTTGTTTAATGGAATCAAAGCTCAACACCTCCACCCGCCCATTCCTACTCACTCAGCCCCACTCCACGGGTGTTGATCCCATGGGCACTCCCCAGTAAAATTCTTGCACACGATTCTACCTACCTCCCAAGAAACCCACCTAAGATAACCTGGAGGGGCGATAGTAGTGAGTGGGAGTGAGGGTCACAGAAAGCTTCCCTAATGAAGGTAAATTTGAGCTGAAATCTGAAGAAGAAGGAGTTGTCTGGAGGAAGAATGTTCTAAGAAGTGGGAACAGAATGCACAGACCCTGAGAAAAGAAGGAAGGGTAAGGCCACTGTGGCTGGAATACTGAGAGAGGGACACCAGAGAAAGGAGGGAGGTGAGGATGGAAATCAGGCATGGGCCAGACCAACCAGGGCCTTGCAGGCCAAGCTGGGTTGTGGTCTGACCACAAAGAAAACTCTCTGATTCATGATCGCATTAGTTTGCTGTGGCTACCATAACAAAATACCACAACCACACCATAGGGCCAGCAGCTTAAACAACAGAAACTCATTTTCCCACAGTTCTGGAGGCTGGAAGTCCAAGATCAAGGTGACGGCAGGGTTGACTTGGAGATGGCAACCCTCCTGTGCCCCTGCATGTGGCCGTCCCTCTGTGCATGAACATCCCTGCTGTCTCTCTTTGTGTCCAGATCTCCGCTTCTGATGAATAACCTGTCAGATTGGATTAGGGCCCACCTTGAAGTCCTCACTCTAACTTCGTCACCACTTTAAAGGCCCTTTGTCCAACCAAGTACAGCCACATTCTGAGATGCTGGCGGTCAGGACTTCAACATATGAACTTTGGGAGAATACAACTCAGCCCATAACAATGATGTTTCCTGTATGCAATATCTGACAGAAATATAACACCCAAATCTCAATAAATTAATAATTTAAGTAACCACCTTTGTTGAAAATAAAAAATAACATCATATTGAAGTGGCTCTAGAAAAAGCAAAATACATGGTTGCTATACATATACATTTCTTTTCATTTCGGACACATCCTCACCAGTCCTCTGCTGCCCCTGAACCTGCTGTCCCAGTCCCTACTTTGATTCACAGATTCTTCCTTCCTCTCTTCTGCCATCCCAGGCCAGCTGTCTGCAAAGTACCACTGGAGAAAACCAAGTAAGCGCACGGCTCCGCTCCGTTACAAACTCAGTCTAACTTCTGCTGGGCTCTCCACTGCTCTGGTCCAGTCCACTTCCCGTTCTGCTCAGCAGCTGTGCCAACCCCGTTCCATCTTCTGCCGTCCCCACCGACCCACCCATTCTCCTCACTCAGAAGCCATCCATCCTACAGCACGGAGAAAAGAGAGGTCACCAGACTGTCGCCCAGTTTCTTTCCTTATCCCCTCCTACTTTTTTCAGAGCTACCTAGAGGAAGGCAAACGATGCGGAAGGGAGAGAACAAGGGTTTGACTCCAAGCAGACTGTCCCACCGTGTAAGACCTTCCTTCTTAGGTAAGTCAACTTCACCTCCCTGTGACTCAGTTTCTTTATCTGTAAGACAATGGTCATCACTTCGAGATGACACTCCATCCACCACACACACAATAAAATCTGAACTCTTTACCACAGCTAGCAAAAGTGGCCCTCGGTGACCTGCTTCTGCCTACTCATCAGCTGCCCATCCCTCCCTGGCTGAGCTGCTACAGCCACATTTGCAGAACACACCAAGCTCATCCCCCCCTCGGGGCCTTTGAAGACGCTGTTCTCTCTGCACGATCTTGGCATGACTCATGCCCCCACAGGCAGGTCCCCTCAGAAAGGCCTTCCCCGATTACCCCATCCAAACTAGCACCCACCCTCCTCTTTTCTAATCTTTTTTTTTCACTTAACACTCCCTGAAATTATATTTCTTTGCTTGTGTATTGCCTGAACCCCTCACAAAATTGTAAGCTTCAGGTAAGTAGGGACTTTTCTTGGTCACAGTAACCCACGGTGGTAAAACAATGCCTGGCATGCAGCTGGTACTAATCAAATCTTGTTAAATGAAGAAAACAAAAAAAAAAATCTAAGGTGGCTATCTAGGGGTATTTCTGTGCTACCAATATCACCACCACCACTCCTCTGAGAAACAACAGCACCGGCCTTCACACCCCGGTTCTAACATTTTGCGGAATAGAAGCTGCCAGCTGCCCTTCTGACATGACTCTCCCTTGGCCACAGTGATTGGCTCAGGGGGTAGGCACATGACTAGGCATGAACCAACCAGAGCCCTTCCCTGAGATATTTCGAACAACAGCCAGGAAAAGAGCAAATTTCCCCAAGTGGTTGGGAGCAGCTGGTGGCCTTTTTCTACACAGCATGAAAAAGAGACTCCAAATGCCCTGTCAACACAGCCCTCCCTGTAACGTGGACACCTGAGCCAATAACCATGTCTGTCTAAGCCAGTTTCCACTGTAGTTCTGTCACTTGCAACCAAAAGAATTCTGTTGTGATAAATGAACAGATGTATGCCAAATGCCTGGAGCAGATGTGTAGTGGTCGTCAGCAACCTTCACACTAACCTGTATTTTCATCCGTCTTTGCCCCCTTCCTTCCCATTGCAGAAGAGGATGTTACTCCTGTCCAAGGCGACCTCCACCCCTCACCCCTCCATACTCAGAACCTCGCTCTCTTTGCCCAGCCCACAATATATGCTCCAAATGCCTGTCTCAGTGGCAGAGTTAAAGCTAAGCAGAATGAAGCCTCAGGCTCCTTATAAACTGAAGAGGGCTCCATAAAATGTATAAAGAGAGAAGGGCTGTCTGTATGTAAGGAACTGTGATTTCAGTTTTATTAGCCAAATAGATAACTCTCATCATGAAAAGAGCCTTTCTGGAGTGATGGATGGCTCTGAGGCCCCGGAGGGACATGGGTATTTCTCAAGGCCGCCAGTCAACCAAGTTAACTGCATAACATTTCTCTCTCCATAGCAACCAGCTGGGCCTCCTCTGCCAGGCCCCACACCTGTGCTTCTGGAAGCCCCTCAGCCCTGTCGCTGCCATCTTCTGCAGCCCGCCATCAGATGGGCACACTCACTCGCTGCCCCCAGCCCCATCCATGGGAAAGAAAGGACCAGCTGGGGAGGGTCCTGTGCGGGAATCCAGAGTCTAGAAACAGGACAGGCAGTGGGCGGCTGCCTCCTCTGCCTCTGAGCTCCTGCGGCATTCTGCTGGCACCGCCTGGCCTCTGTCCTCTTCCAGCAGGTCCGGGAGTGGGCTCCCTGCTTGAGACTGATGGCAGATGAGAAGGGGGAGCCTGTTAGGTACCAGGTGCTGAGCACTTCCATTGTCACAGTGATCCAGAGGCAAGCAATGTCATTTCTGTTGTGGAGATAAGAAGGGTCAATAAGGTGAGGGGATCAACACAGGGTCACAATGCAGCAGTGCAGGGTCCCCCAGGCTTGCCTGATACCCTAGCCTGTGTTCTTTCCTCTTCATCACCCCACTTCCTTCCCAGCTCCCGGCATCGCCAATGAGCCCAGGAGCACCAGAAGCAAGAGTGGTGGGTGACTGGGGCCCCATAGGGAGGGAGGGGTCTCAGCAGGCCCCTCAGACTCCTCCCAGGCTCCTCCAGAGAGTGGCCATCAGTGCCAGGAAAGCAGACACCCTAACCTCCTTGGCTGTCAACACAGGGAGGCAGTGAGACAGTAAGTGTGGACAACTCCTTCAAGAAACCTGGCAGTGAGAAGAGAAAGGGAGGTTTTGTAGGGCCCAGGCAAGCAACCTGGACCAGAGAGAAAGGAGTCCATGGAGATCCAGAGGTTGAAGACACAGAAGAGAGAGGGATCAGTCACAGCATGAGTTCCCGGGAGCAGGAATAAGCAGGAAGGCGTGAGGTCTAGACCACAGATCTGGAGACTTTTTCTCTAAAAGGTCAGAAAAAGTCATTTCCACTCTACTGGCCTTGCAGTCTCTGTCACAGCTACTCAACTGCTATTGCAGTGCAAAAGCAGTCATAGACAATCCCTAAATGAATAAGCATGCTGTTTCCAATAAAACTTTATTTATAAAAAACAGAGAGAGGGCTGGATTTGGCGCTGGGCAGTAGTTTACCAACCCCTGATCTAGAGCACACGGCACAGCTGGCTCTACAGAAGGAGCAGCCACAGTAGTAAACTTGGAGAGCAGAAGGGAGACCTCGTCCTAGCAATGCCATCCACAAGGCAGTGCACAGTAGGGGTGCACAGGATACTGACCTGAACTATCAGCCTCCAAGGCAGGAGGGAAGAGGAAAGTGTGGGTGAATTTACAGAGAAACATTGGGTAGGGAGCTCAAGTGTGAAGGTGTTCACACCCTGAAGAGAGAAGAGAATGCCTCAGGAGGTGTAGGCTTGGTGGCCCCACCAATGTGGGAAACGCTTGCAGGGCAGGCAGACATCAGATCCTGGCGGCCCCAACAGCTGTGCCCAGTGGGTCCATTAATGCTCCCCCGAGAAGGGAGGTCTATAGCTGGGACTGGAATGCGGAGAGGCGAGGCAGCTTTGAAACCTGCTGATAACACACAGCCAGAGGAGATTAGGTACAAGCTGGTACAGCAGACCAGGGCTCTGGGCCAACAGACAGAGCCAGCTGGTTCCCTGGCCCAGCACTTTCAAACTGCTGGGCAGGCAGAAGTGATGAGTGGCTCCCCCACTGCCACCGGAGAGCACCACACTGGGCTGCTCTGGGCACCCACAAGCTCTGGTTTCCAAGAGGCTTGCTACCTGTAGCCTGGTGAGGCTGCACTCTTCCAGGAATTATTTGCTCATCTGAGGTCTACAGGAGTGGTTCTGGGTTCTCGGAAAATCCAGAAGAGCCCCTAATCCACTAAAGTGAGAAGAAAGAATGGGCTTGCAGGGAGAGATATAACCCAGGAGTGCCCGTGGCGAGAAGTGGACCGAGGAGACTGGAGGACACACCAGAGTAGGGACAGGGTGCTCCGTAACAGATGGCATCTTCTCCCACCTCTGTACCTTTATCTATGGGGAACGCCATCACCCCTTCCCTCTAGAACGGCTTCCCAGGCCTCTGACTGAAGGATGGGCCAGGAGACAGCTGCTGTGCTTGCTGCCTCTCTGCACTTTGGAACCCCCCTGGCTCCACCAGTTTCCCGTTGGTCTCCCAGCTGAAGTCACCACGGACGGCTATGCAATGGTGCCAGCCAAGAGCTTCAGTGGACAGTCTTTGTAACAACCCTCATTATGCCAATTCGATGCAAAAGGAACTCGAGGCACTAGCAGTCACAAGAAAGCTAAGCAATTCAATTCCTGAGCCAGTACTCTTCCACATCATACCGGGCTGATGAACTAACTGCCTCCAGAACCCTGGCCTGGAAAGAAAGCAGGTCAAGCTGGCTGGGTATAAGGGCCCAGGCACATGCATTGTGAGCAGAGGAGACCATGGCAGACGGGAAGGGTGCCTGTTGAAAGGCAGTGGTCACTAGTGGTCTATCACACTGCAGCCACATGCAGGAAGCTGGGGAGGTAGCCCTTTGGTTTTTCAAGAGAAGTCAGAATCCAGAGTTTTAAGTGGAATCTCCTGATTCTTGGAAACGGAGTCAAATTTTTTTTAAATGCTGTAAGGCCAAACAAAACCCATTTGCTGGCCAAATCTAGCCCGTTCATCACCAGTGTGCCCCCACTGTACCATATATGTTATTTCTACTTTATCTTATTAATTTCACATACAAAGCCCCTACAAGGGAAATAATATTCATCCCCATTTAACAGACAGGACACTGAGATTTGGAGGAAGGGAAGGGACTTGCCCACAGTCACACAGCTGATAAGTACCAAAACTGGAGTCTGTGTTTCTGCCAGGCCCTAAACTACCTTAGAGCACCAGGTTGCTCCCCCAGATGGTGAAAGCCTGGGAAGTGGCCCACACCCATGGTGTCTGTCACTCAGAGCTGCATGGGGGGAGGGCTGAGGCTCTGATGCAGCACCCAGAGGTGCTACTGCCCAGCTGGGCTCCTTCAGCATGGGATTTCACTCCTGCCAGGGTTCAGCTGGTCTTATCAGCCATTTCGGCAAGGCATCACTGACTGATGGGGGGGCCAGTAACCCTGGGGAGCCCTTAGCCTGGGTCCCACTGAGAAAGCAGTAAGTAGGCCAGGTGGCCAAGTGCCCCACTTAAAACAGAAACAATGGAAGCCCAATTCTCCATCCGGAACCTGGGCTTCTGCTTTTGAGGATGGTTCCCCTTGCCTGAGCCTGGATGTCGAGACCATCTGGTCCAACTTTGTTTTATGAACTTTATTATAAGCTTACAGGAGGAGGTGAGCTGAATGCTGGTTCAATTAGGAGAATTTGTAACTTGCTGAACCCCATGAGGGCTAATCACTCCTGGAAGGTCTTTGGTGGCCAGCCACTGAGTTCTGGCCTCAACTTTGACCTATACAACATTTTTATTAATGACTTAGTTGAAAACATAGAGGACCTGTTTACCAAATTTGTAGTTGATTAAAAATGAAAATAAAAATGATGGGCAGATTGCAAAACAGCGACAGGATCCAGATGGCTCTAGACAGGCTGGGCTGATGGGCTGAATCTAATAAGATAAAACAAAACACAGATAAATGGCAGGTCCTGAACTTGGCTTCAAAACAATAACTGTTCAAGAATAGGACTGAGGTGGGCAGGACAGTAATGGGACTTAACAGCAGCAGGTTTTAATAAGACTTGGAGCCTTAGTCAACACAGTTAAGATAGCCATGACACTAAAAGAATAATCTAGAATGTTCCTCACAGCATTGTCTATAATAGCATAATATCAGAAAAAAATCTAATGTCCAGTGTGTATGGTTCATCTGTACAGTTGACAGCTATATATTCCTTAAAATAATAATAGCATGAGAATCTATTAAATGACATAGGAAAATATTAAGTAAACAACAGTAGTTTACAAAGCAAGAAGTTCAGTCTGAGCCAATTTTTTTTAAGAAAGGATTGAAAAAAAAGCTGGGAAGATACACACCAAAATGTAAACTTGGCAGTCTCTGGGTGCTATTAGAGGTGACTTGGGTATAGGGTGAGGTCTTGTTAAGTGTGTGAAGTTTTTGAAGGTTTTGGAAAGCCAATGCAATCCTCAAACATGAAGAGTTCTAGTGTCTAAAAAGTTGGAGAAAGTTCTACTCTTCTTTGGCACACCTGAGCCTGGGATCTTGAGTCTAGCTCTAAGAACCTCTCTCTAACAAAGGACCACTTAGTGACACATGGTGAGAGCAAACATTCTGAGTGCTTACAGTGTGCCTGGAAGTGCACTAAGTTCTTTTAATCTGTCATCTTATTCAGTAATTCTACCACTGTTTTCTCCATTTCATAGACAAGGCTCAGAGAGGTCCAGGAACATGCCCACGAACACCCAGTCCACAGAAGCCCTAGAACTTGCTGGAGACAATAGACCCAGGAATAAGTCTGCAAAGAGACAACTTCCCAGCAAATATTGCGAGTGCTTCCAAGCACAAAGCATTCCCAGCAGACCCACTCTGGGAATCCTCAATGTCTGGACTGGCCCCCAGGGGTTCTAATTGACTAAGGTCCCTGATCTTCTTGTGAGAAATTGGGAAGGCCCCCTTGGGACTGAATGTGGGGGCCATCGGGACTGAATTTCAGACCCTCAGACCCTGGAATTAAGACCCTCTCTCATAGAAAGTAAAGAAAGTTCGACTTCAGGTTTGGGGAAATCAAGGAACATGAGATTGGGTTGGGGAGAAAACTAGGAAAGTTAGCACAGAGTGATTATCAAAAACTTAGCCACATCCTCCCATTCAACCCAGCCCAGCCTCCAGGGGACGCAGTTTCAGCAACCTCTCATCAAGAACTGAACAACCGAAAAGAAATATGACTCCTTGAGTGCCAGACCAGATTAGGTCAGCCAAAGCTTCTATCATGCCTTCGGAAAATTTATTTTGGGGAGTAAAGCCTGTGGCAGTGGACTTGGAGAGCAGAGCACCAGAGAAAGGTCCACCTGCAGGTCTGGGAGAGGAAAGGCCACTGAGCACACTTCTCCTCCTGGGTGTGACCAAGCACTCTGGGATAGGGCTTTTAGATACCTGTCCCACCTTGAACCACACATGTTAGTCGGGAGGAGGAAGAGACCTGTTCAATGTGAACCCAGAGGGCAGAGTCAGCTTTTAACAGGGAAGGATCAAGAGAGGCACAAGTCAAGTTCCAGCCAGTGAGGTCCCACGATGGACTGGCACTGACCTCAGGGAGCCATGGTCTCCCAGGAGCAGGTATGCCAGTCAGTGGACAGTCACTGGTTGTCAGAAGTAGTATGGAAAGGATTTGTGCCCTAAACTTCAAAGGTCATGAGGGTCAGGATTTTAGGTTGTTCAACATTATTTCCCCAGGTCCTTAGCACATACCTGAATTATAGTAGATGCTCAGAAAAATAATCTGTTGGATTAACTAATTAATTAGTGATATGGAGAATTAGACCAGATTACCACTAATGGCCCTTCTGGAACTATGAGTCTATGGTCCTGTGGCACTTAAAATCAACATCTATAAAATCCTGATTATTTTCAACATAACGCCTTTCTTCCAATGTCCAATGCCCTCATTTAACCTAACTGCAGTCCCAGGGGACAGATGGCTCTGTACTCCTTCAGGCTAGAGCACCTCACCCAGTTAATTCACTTTGAGGCTCCCCATAGCACCTTGCGATGCCACCATGCCTCTAGACCTCCATGGTTATTTCCAATATTTTATATTTACAAAGTAGGCAGCTACAGATGAGTGTGCAAATATTTGTTTGTTTTCCTTCATGGTTATTTCCTTGGAGTCTACTTTGCAGGAGAAAATGTGGGGATATTTTCACCCAACTGATGACTGGCTCCTCTGGCAGATTTGGGGCCTTAAACATGAGTTCTCCCAGCTGCTATGCATTGTAATGATTTCCCAGTCCCACAGCAAGCACACAACAGACCAAGAAACTTCTAGCTCAGATGATTAGTTGTACTAGAACATCCAGAGATGACATAGAGTGGGAGGTCCACGGAGTTTTCTTCAACTCATTTCTATCATCTCTGAGTCACAGAAGTCATAATAAATGTCCTCACCCTTCATTTGTCCACACCTTTCCCAGAAGCTCTTCAGATACATCACGGTGGGCCCCAGGGGCATGTCTCCTGGCACAAAATGATTTTCCTGAAATTCAGTGTTTATTTCCTTCCTTCCTATAGCCTGTCAATGGGGGAGCTGCAAAATAAGACACACAGACATTTGGACTTCAGTGAGAGTACTCACTTCAGAATAAGTTTATGGGCCTCAGATACAGTCATGAAAAGTGAGCAGAAAACTGGCATGTCTGGGATTCCTAACCCAGGGCAAATGGTTACACCCAACTGCCCAGCAGAGTAGCCTAGCCAAAAATCTAAATGGTTTCCTGGCATTTACCAGGAAAATGCCCTCCAGCAGGGTGGAACAATTTCTTGGACCACCAGCAGGGTTTAAATATATGCGCCTCCTTCCCCGCCATCCCAAAGTCAGCTCTTAGCGTGGCCATCCTTTCTTGCTAGTTTAACAGCTACATAATAGGACCCACAAGGTGCTGGAATGTGCTGGGCATGCTTTTGTGTATTGATGGATGGCATGCATTTCCCAGCAGATGGGATCGTTATGCATAGGGGCTGATACCCACATGCTGAGGCAGTGAGCTCAGGGGCACTGCCTGTCCCCTGCATTCCCATTATAATGCCTTCCTCTAGTGTTTGCTTCATTACAATTATTGTACAAAAGGTTTTTCTTGCAATATATTCCAGGATAATTTTAGAAATTTGTTTTCACCTCCCAACATTGATTCCTAGGGCAGCTTGCAAGCTGCCTAAAATGAAAAATCAATGGTGACAGCAGTGGAGTGGGCTCCAATTCCTCATTAACCTAGAGCTCCCAGCAGCCCCAGCCCTGTCTCCTCCCTCAGGATTAGCCATGGGCAAAAATGGGCAGCCTGGAGGCATTACCTCGTTCCCCTTGGCCTTTCTGTTCTGAGCTCTTTCGGTCTGCCTGCTCTTCCCCACCCTTTACCAAAACTTATTGCCCACCAAGTGTGGAGAATGGGTTGGAGAGGAGAAGTAAGATCCACTGCATAGCTACACATATGCCAGGCACTAGGCTAGTCAGTTTAAATGCACATCCCATTTAAGTCTACCAAAATTCTGAGGTTGGTATTGCCCCCATTTCACAGAAGAGGAAACTGAGGCACAAAGAGCTCAAGAAACAAGCTCAGTGTCACGCATTTAGTAAGGTTGAGCTAGGATGAGAACCTCTCTGTCCCCAAAGCCCATATTTGCGCAATTGCATGCCACTACAGTGGGGCCGAAATCTAAGAGCAGTTATTTGGTGAAGCAGCAGCCCCCAGAGACACACAAAATGTGTTTGGCTCTGCACCTGGCCGCCCCCACTCAGCCAATGGCTCGGTTGAGTTCTACACACAAGGACTGGCCCTAATGAAGCCTCCAGGGACATCAGGCTGCGCTCCTGAGTCTCAGCTCCACCCACAATACATGGCAGCAAGGGCCAAGGAAGTTCTAATTGAGATTTCAGACACCTAGAGAGAATCACAGCCCTCTGGCCAAAGGCCATCTGCAAAAAGTGGATGCTAGAAATCTTTGAAACCAGTTAAAAGAGCAAAGCAGAAAGAGAGACAATGCATTTCACACTGGAGAAGGAGGTGATGCTAAAGCTAGTCTAGATCAGCCCTGCTCAGTAGAAATGTAACTCAAGCCTCATACCTAATGTTAAATTTTCTAGTAGGCACATTTTGAAAAATAAAAAGAAACAGGTGGAATTAATATATTTATTTAGCCCAATATATCTCAAATATTATTTCAATATGTAATCAATATAAAAACTTAATGAGATTTTAAATTTTTTTGTACTAAGTCTTTGGAGTTCCATGCTTATTTTATACTTACAGTACCTCTCAGTTTGGACTGGCCAGTCGCAGGTACTCCACAGCCACACATGGCTAGTGGCTACCAGATTGTACAGCACAGGGCTACGCCCACGGTTTTTAAATTATGTTTCACGGAATTTAGCACTCCTCAGAAGTGTTCCAGGCTCCCTAAATTTTGGGCTGTATTTTCATTTGTAATGGATTTTAACTCTTTAAACCAGTGATATAAAAAAATTCACACTCAAAAGATGTCTCATCCCAAATTTTAACACATTGAAGACAATCAGTAGGAAAACTTGTGTTCATTCTTGAGAGGAAATGTTATTAATTCATCCTCTTATAAAAGAAGTTTGTAGTGGTAAAACATCTCTTAATCTGCTAGTAACTTATATTACTAATATTTTATATTAGTAATTTATATTAACAATTCATATTACTATTATTAGGAAATTAAATTAATATTTTTAATTTATATTAGATTTCAATTAAGTAATAACAATAGCCACCAACATTTATCACACATTTACCATGTGCATCATGGGTATCATCTCATCACATCCTCACAACCCATTTTTGAGATGGATAATATGATTCTTTTCATTTGCAGAGGAAGGTACTGAGACTGGGGAGTTCAACAACTTGCCCACTGCAGCAGAGAATTATCTCAGAATTGGAACCCAACCCCAGTTGTCAAACTTCTAAACCAAAGCTCTTTACTCAGCGGACTACAATCAAAAACAGAACAATCCACAATGCTTGTGTAAATTCTGGTCTTTCTCAAACTTCAAGCTACTTTGCTGTATACCCGGGGCTCAAAGCCTAAACTGCACACCCTCTCATCAGGTCCTTACACCCAGGCAAACACACCACACAGTGTTCCACTTAGTTCCACAAACACTTACAGACATCCCCATGTGTCAGTATTAGCTATGCTCCCTTTGTAGCCAAGATAAAGCTCTCTATATCCTGCTTAGCCCCCAACCATCTGGGAAAAGGCTGGATTGTATCCTGTATAGGGTATGAAGCCAGTGAAGGGTTTTAGCAAAGGCGGATGACAAGAAAGATCATATCTGCATTTTAGAAAGTTCATTCTGGTTGCTGCAGCAAGGGTAGGTTGGAGGGTGTTGGGAACAGAGAAAGGAAACCAACAGTGATGGCAGATACGAGGGGAACACTCATGATAAAAGCTCTGGGTCTTGGTGATTGCATAAATCATTGAGTGAGGGGTCACAAACAGAAAGCGAAGGTTTCTTCTTTCTGGTTAAAGTAGTGAGTTAATGGTGGGCCCATTAGCTGAAACAAAGAATACAGGGGGAAGGTCTGGGTTGAAGGGAATGAGTTGACATAATTAATTTAGATTTTGATAATGCAGTTGACCTTGTAATTGACAGCCCAACATCCACTCAACCCCTCTGCCCTCTGTCAAAGAAATGCAATCTGAGGAACTACAGATCCAGGGTGCACCATGACTCCTATCACGCAATCATGATAAGCTCATCCCACAATAATCCCCCTGCCAATGACTGGTGCAGAGCATTGGTCTAAGCCACTGTGCACGTAGTATTCCCTTTGAGACTTTACTGGTGTAGAGATCATCAGTTGGCCCATTCAGACCATAAGAAGTCACCTTTCTCAACAGTTTTGGGAGAGGAGCTCTCTCCTGATAAGAATAAGGAGACGAGTAGTCCTAGCACCTCCTGACAGAGCAGCACCTCAGGAAGCATGGGTGGGACAAGGCAATTCCAGGAGAAGAGCACAATGGAGAGAGAAAAACCTGCATCCTGGATGAACTTGTTGAACCACTGCACCAGGTTTCCCAAAAGCTCAACCTAGTCTCTTATGTGAGCCAATACACTTCTTTATTGCTTAAGACACTTTGAGTTGGGTGCTCTGCTACATACAGCTGCAAGCTTCCTAACTGATAAGGATATTTTGAATTGAGGAGACCCAGTACACAGAGTCCCCTGGAGTTGTGTAATGCAGCATCTCCAGGGTGACCTGTGGGACACAAAAGAAGTGGTGCCCATTAGGCAGATAGGTCTTCAATCTGAAGCCCAGGGAACTCAAGCTGGAAGTACAGATCTGGTGTTATCAAGTGGGACGTAAACTGAGGAAGTAAATGAGACTGAGCAAAGCAAGTACATAGAATGTGGAGAGGAGAGAAGAGAGAGGTCAAGGACAGAACCGTGGGAAACGCTAACATTGGTGGGGGCGGGGCGGCTCTAAAGCAAACAGAGGAGTAGAGGGAAGTGAAGAAGTCCTGGACATGAGGAGGAGACTGAGAATATGGCCAGAGAAGTGGGGAGAGAAGAAAAATTAGGGAAGGAATGGGAGGGTGGGGTGGATGGGCAACTGCTGAATGGTGAACACACAGTGGAAAGAGACATGGATAGGGACAAAAAGGGAATACTAATTAAGGTGTAGGCCAAGCTACCTTAACAATGAGACTCATAAATATCATGGCTTTAAGAAATGGAAGTTCTTTGCTCTCCCACATGAGAGCCCAGAGAGAGAGACAGGCCAGAGCAGTAGACTGTTCTTTTCCATAGAGTCTTGAGTGGCCAAGTTTCCTCTGTCTGGTTGCTCTGCCGTCCCTCAGAGTCTCGCCTTTGTCCATATAACCACAGCTGGCTCATCACTAGCACTTCCAAATTCCGTCCCAGGGAAAGGCTTCCCTTTCCAATATTCAGTGCAAACAGCTTCTGTACATGGGTGTGAGCTGAATGGAAGTTGCACACATTCCTCTTGGCAAGAACTAAGTACATAGCCACACCTAGCTGCAAGGGAGGCTGGGAGAGAATGGACATTGGGCATAAGTAACAAGCTCTGGCACTGGGTCTAGAAACTTCTTGTAGGTGCTGTACAGGCAGCTACCCCCTCTACTCCTCAAGTGTGTCATCTCAGCTTATTGGCATTAATATCTTAATCCAGTCAAATGGACAGTCTTATAATAGGGCCTGAGGATCTAATGTATAGCATGGTGACTATAACTGATAAATCTGTATCACATAAGTGAGATTTGCTAAGACAGCAGATCTTAAGAGTTCTCACCCCCCCCAAAAAAAAGAAAAGGTAACTGTGTGAGGTGATGGATGTGTTAATTAACTTAATGCTGGGAATCCTTTTACAATGTGTGATATATCACATCATTACGTTGTATGCTTTAAATATTTTACAATTCTATTTGTCAATTATACCTCAGTAAAGCTGAAAAAGAAAACTTGGGAGGGATAAGAAGAAAATTTTATAGACTTTAATACAGAGATAAAAAGGGATAATCTTTTAGAAAATTCTGAAGAATTTC